CACTTCTTTTTTTTTCTTTTTCCTCACTTCATCATACATGTATTCTGTATAACGATGAGGGTCTCCTTCCATCTTCTATGCAATTCCCTTTCTCCCTCCCTTTCCCTCCCACCTCCCTTCCTTATTTAGTGATAATCTTCTTCTCATGCTCTTCCTCCCTACCCCATTTTGAATCACCCCCCTTGTATCAGAGAAGACATTCGGCATTTGTTTTTTAGGGATTGGCTAATTCTCTATAGGTTCTTAATCAAGAAAACGACAATCCTTAATGCTAGATACTGCAATAGACATAATCAATGCACAGCAAATGATTCTAGATTAGTTAATTCACAGCAAACAATTCTAGATTAGTTAATTCACAGCAAACAATTCTAGATTAAGTTTTAAGCAGTGTAAATATACTTAATCATGACAGGCTAATGACAGACATTCCCTCTGCATACTAAGTTCAAATGTCAGATCAAAAGTCTTAAGTCCAGCAGATGCACACTCAGACCACGGTGATCAGCTCCAGAACCAAGGCAGGCTTCTCCTGGGGTGGAGTGGATGACTGGTTGAGGAGAGGGTAATATGGAGAAGTTGAGGCTCTCACCAAGGTCCAGATGAGGCAGTAGAGTTTGAGAGCTGTGAGGATCACACAGAGGATCAGGAAAAAACGATGACAAGTGATGGGATGTCAGACCAGGTCCTCATCAGGCTCTCCACCTCGAGTGCATCCTTGTTTTGTCTGGCTGAATCCCTGTTCATTAACTCTATTATTTATACTAAATAATAATTTGGGAGCTTTTGACTCTTTTAATTCTTATCAGCTACCACTGGATTTCTCCATGACATCATTTACCCTGAGGTCAGAAACATCTGGTCTGGTGGTCTCCACCCTGATCTTCTCACCTTTCCCTCTTAGGTGAGGATAGCCTGCCAGGGACTTCACTCTATTTGTCAGGATGAGGGGAACTAACTTGTCTGAGGCCATACTGGAGGGCTCTGTTAGGCATGCCTGATTAGACTGGAGTTTTTAAAATTGAATTGTTTAGGCTCAAAAAAAGCCTAAGGCCATCCTCACACCTTGATAGATCAAATCTTTGTTCCTAAGTGATTTCAATATTATGTATTTGTCTCTTGGGGTTCAGGTTCTATACTTGTTTGCCCGCTTCTACGGTTGTTTTGTTAATTTCTTCCACTCAGACAAGAATTGTGTCTGGTTTTACCTGTCATTGTATCTGCAATGCCCACACTGTGCTTTTTACATAAACAAATGAATAAATTAGTGTAATAAGGCGTTACCCAGTCAGGCCCATCTTATCATAAATCCAGACATTTCCAAAATTACAGTGTTGATCATCTACTTGCCCATGGACAACCTGCAATATGTGCTTCTCATCCACACTGGCAAAATAAGGCCAATCTTTTTTTTTTTATCACTTTTCCAGTCTTAGGTCTCACAGTCAACATTCCACCCTCCTACACACAATTCCACTATTGGACACTTTTGTTTTAATATGAGGATCTTAGTTTTATCACTTTCTAATGGTAAGATCTTGGGCAGATGAATTTTTTTCTTCTCTGAGTCTGTTTTCTCAGCTGTGAGTTACAAATATGTAAATTTGAAAATGACCGTTTTTGTCCCTGTGCAGACTTAAGGTCAAACCACTCCTTTCACTCTGTGTCTCAACTCCAATCCCCCTCTCTACTAACCCTCCCACATTCCCTCCAGCTCCAGAGCTAGCCACTCTTGCCAGTCTGCCTTTGCTCTTGGCACTGTGGCTGTGCCATGTTCCGACCTGCCTTGTATAAGAGTTATCTTTGATGTTTTCCTCAAAACCCATTCCTCTCCATCTCAGAAAATCCACCCAGTTTCTCAGGCCAAAAACCTAGGCTCATTGTTGTCTGTTTCACTCCCCGATCTTCACTTGCTCTAGTTAAAAAAAATACGCCATGTTTGCTCTTTTCTCCCTGTTTACACTGTCCTTCCAGTCCAAGACACCATCATCTGTAGCCTGAATCACTACAATAGCCTCCTGACCAGTGTTCCTGGTTTCACTTTCCCCCACACTCCACTCCCATAGGTAACCAGAGTAATCGTCTTAAACTCTGAGTCACATAATGTTACTCCTTGTCTTAAACTCCCGAGGGTTTCCCATTACTCTTACAATAAAACCTGAACTCATCCTTATGACCTTCATGGTCCTACATGACCTAGACCCTGCCTTGTGTTGTGGGCCTCATTTCCTGCCGTTGTTGTCTTTCTCCATTCCTTTCTGCCACATGGGTCTAGTTACCACCCCTGAAATACACTGAGCTCATTCTCACCTCCAGATCTTTGGTTTAGCTCTTTGCTTTTTCTGGAATATTTTCTCTTGATTTTCCACTGGTTGACTCTTCCTGGTCATCCAGGTCTCAGTTGAACTATTACCTCAGTGGGGGCCATTCCTTGATACCACATCTAAAGTACTCTGACTCCCCACACACGTACCAGTCATCCATCACACCACTGAATCTTAATTTTTCATACTTGTCACTTGAATTATCCTCTTTTAAGGTTCACATGCATATTGTAAGGTTTACATGTGTACAGTAAGGTTGTAATTTTCTTACTCATTTCTCTGACTCCAGCACCTAGAATAGGGCTTGGCATGAATTCCATGATTAATGGTTTTAATATCATCTTTGTATCAAACATACCCCAGGTGTGAGAATTTGTGCTAAGTGGTACTTAGTTTTTGCCACAGTCTCTTGAGCTAAATACTATCACCCATTTATAATGCAGAGCTGAAGTTCAGCGAGTCTAAGTGACTTCCATAATATGAAAAGGATAAGTGGAGCCAGGTGAGGTGGCACATGCCTGTTATCCAGCAACTTGTGAGGCTGAGGCAGGAGGATCTGGAGTTAGAGGCTAGCCTCAGCAGCTTAGCAAGGCTCTACCCAGCTTGGCAAGACCCTGTCTCAAAATAAAAAAATAAAAAGGGCTGGGCATGTGACTCAGTGGTTGATCACCCCTGGGTTTAATCCCTAGTAACCCCCCCAAAAAATATCAGAAAGAAAGAAGTTCTGAAGTATGGGACTAAAGATATAGGGGATATTTTCCCAGAAAGATAATAGTGACACCTACAAACTGAGATAGCATGATGCATATTCATGACTCCACAAACACATTAGCCTATTGAGTTCCTAGCACTAGCTAGGCTCTGTTCTAGGTGGCGAGGATTCACTGCCTGTGAGAATTCCTCGCCTCCATTCCCTCTGCCAAGCAAAAGGCTTAGTAGAACTTTCTGTTGGGGGGGCCAGAGGAAGCCAAGTCTTCTGTCAGGCAGTTAGAAGTCAGACACCAGCCAAAGACAACACCCAGGACTGTGCCTCTGAGGACCTGCAGCAGGCCCAGG